TGGCATTGGCTTGGAGGTGTAGGTTGGGGTGGGGGGTACAGGGTGGGGGCAGGGGAGGGGTGCACAGCCTACCCAGAGCCCCACGCCGACGACGAGCAGGAAGTAGGCAGCGATGACGCCCATGTCGTAGGGGCTTAGGACAGGGCTGGGGGCCACGGTGCCTGGCTCCATGCTGCCTCCTCTCTCGCCTGCGGGCTGGGACCAAGCTCCAGGGACCCGCTTGGGAGTGGGTTAATGAACAACTGGTCATGGGCCAGAGCCCTGATTGGCTATTAACCCGAGGGGCAAAGGGAGAGCATGGCACGGGACCCAGGCGTCCAGGCTGCCAGCCGCCCACAGAGAACCCAGGAGTCTGGGGCCTGGGACCAAGCGTTACTTAATTGATTCAGGGACTGATAAATGAGCCCCAGCCGCATCGTTTACACTCCATTTTTTAATGTATGCAAATATATTCACATTCCGCCGCGCATATATTAAAAGAGGCCACATGTACAGGCAGGAGGTCAGAACCAATTTAAATAACATGGTGGAGGAGATGGGGGGGGGGGGGGGCTGGGGACCCCCGCCTCCTCCCCACCCCCAAGGAATCACCACAATTGGGGCTGAATGGGGCCCAGGACACACAGTATGGGGTGGCGAGGGGGAGCCAGTGCGGGGCCTGGGGGCAGAGCGCACAGGCATGGACACACACACACACACACACGCACGCAGAGCCCAGGCACCCGGCCCCCTGCACCTAGAGGACCCAGGCGTCCGGGCCACGCACACACACACACGCCTACCCCCCCTTCCCTCTCACGTTTCCTTATGCAAATGAATAATTAATTATTGAACGTAGTCTCGGTGACAGGACCTGGCACGAACCCTCCTCCCGCCCCCCAGGCTGAGCTGGGCTGCTGGACGGACACCCCGCCTCGCAAGCCCTCAATGCAAAGCATTATGGGAGTGTGGGGGGATAGATTAACCCTTTACAGCCCATCCTGTGTTGAATTTGGGGCGGAGGCAAAGGGGCCAGGAGTTGGGTCATCGCCTCCCCCCCCCACCTGCTGGTCATCAGGGGAAACTGAGGCAGGCAAAGTGCAACTCAGGCATTTGGGAAGGAGCCCAGGTGTCCAAGAAGGAGCCCAGGTGTCTGGGAGGGGTGAAGAGATGGGGGGTGAGGAGAGCAGAACCCAGGCATCTGGGTAGGGCCTAGGGCCAGGAGCCCAGGAGCAAGGGGAGGACGAGGAAGAGGAGGAGGGGAGGGGCCAGCCAGGTGGAGGCAGGGCTGGCACGAGAGCGCAGGGCACCCGAGACCTTGACCTGGCGCCCGCCCAAGCTCTGCACGGGCCGGAAGTTGTTCTGGAGCCGCGGGCCGTGCTCTGAGTCCGTAGCGTGGAGGGTGGATGGGAAGGCTGTCACCTGGAGGGTGGGAGGGGGCGGGGTCAGGGGGCAAGGACCCAGGCATCCAGGCTCTTAGTCCGCCACCGAACCCCTTGCTCCCAATCCCAGAGAACCGAGCATCCTGGCCCCCCTCCCCGCCGGAGAACCCAGGCATCTGGGGCACTTACCACACCGGGGGGCACCATGATGGGTTCCGTGAAGACGGTCCAGATGACGACCTCATTGCAGTTGGGGGTCGTTAGCGACCCATGGTACCGGAAGTAGCGGCCCAGGTTCACTGCTTCCATGAGTCCCCCCAGCGAGAACATCTCGTCCAGCTCCTCCCGCTCGCCTGCCACACAGGGAACCCAGGAGTCAGGATGCCCCAACCCCCACCCAGAGAACCCAGGTGTCCAGGCTCTTGGACCCCGCCCTGTTCCCATCCCCCAGGTGTCTGGGCTCCCCATGCAGCTCTACCTTTCTTCTCCACATGCTTCAGTTGGTTGACGAAAGCTTCCCAGTGCCGGGTGGGGCGTGCGTGTGATGATGCCTAGAGGTGGGGAAACTGAGGCAGGGGGCCCAGGTATCCAGGCTCCCAGGCCCGCTGATCCAAACCCGCAGCCCCCATTCCCCCTCCCTGAGAACCCAGGTGCCCAGGCTCCCAGCTCCACCCCAGCCCCCGGAGAACCCAGGCATGCGGACGCACCTGGACGAAGAAGGCCAGTACCGCCACCCCTTCGGGGTCATCCATGGCCTCATGCAGCGTCAGGTTCTCCTTGGTATGAACCACATGGAGCTGGAGGGGGTGGAGGGAAGGGTGTGAGGGGGTGGGCCAGGCACTGACCTCTGCCCCCTCCCCTCTGCCTCCACTTTCCCCCAGCCTCAGTCTCTGCCCAGGAGTATCAGCTGTTTGGATATTTAGGGATAGTCTATAAAAAGAGACCTATAAACATTCGTCTGCTAAAAAAAAGTGTGTCAGGAAAAAACACAAGCAACTGGTGCTTGATTGACAATCCCTTGTTAGACACAAGCATCAACAGACGATGGAGCCGGAATGTGGAACCCAGCCTGGAGCTTTGCAGCCCCTGGGGACCTCTGTAGCCTCCTTATCACCCCCCACCCACCATGTGCCTCTGCTGCATCAGCCACCTGGCAGTCAGTAAAAACACGCATCATGAGCACTGCGTCTCAATAAAAAAATTGGTTGCCAACAAAAACACATGCTGAGTGGTCCATGAAAATGTGTTTCAGTAAAACCATGTAGTTATCAATTAAAGGCTACACCTCTAGGAAGCTTGGATATAAAAATATTTGATCATCCCTAAAAACAGATCAGTAGAGGTGTGGCACTAAACAAGCTTGGTCATCAGTAAAAAAACCACAGATCAATAGTAATGAGGCACTAAAAGAGCTTGGTTGTCAGTAAAAACCACAGATCAATAGAAGAAATGTGGCAGTAAAAAAGTTTGGTTGTCAGTAAAATCAAGTGGTCAGTAAAAACAGGTCAGTAAACCCCCCGGTCAAAATAACTGTCAGGTTATTGGTGAAAACATGTCAGTAAAAAAAAAAAAATTCTGGTCATCATTACAATCAATTGTCAGTAAGACCCCGTGTCAATAAAAAAGTTTGGTTCTCAGTAAAAACATGTGTCAATAAAGCCACCCGTCAATACAACAGCAGGATTGTTTGAAAAACACTTGTCAATAAAAAAAATATTGGTCATCAGAAAGTTTGCATATAAAAAAACCAAACGTGTCAGGCCAAAAGTTTGATCATTAAGAAAAGTATGTGTCAGTAAAACCACGTCCCAATAAAAAAAGTTTGGGTGTTGGTAAAAACATCTTTCATTACAAACCTTTCAATAAAACCACCTGGCAACATAACACTAGGGTTGTTAGTAAAAACACGTCAGTAAAAATGTGTCAGTGAAAACGTGTCAAAACTACCTGCCCATATAATATTAGGGCTGTTGGTAAAAACGTGTGTCAGTAAAAACACGTGTCATTAAAACTACCTACCCATGTAATACTAGGGTGGTTGGCAAAACACGTCGGCAAGAACATCTCTCAGTAAAAACACGTGCCAGTACAACCACCTGTCAATATAACACTAGGGTAAATTGGTAAAAATAGGTCAGTAAAAGCATCTCTCAGTAAAAACACGTGTCATTATAACCACCTGGCAATATAAGCGTCAAACTACTGGTAAAAACACCTGTCAGTAAAAAAGTGTGGTTGCCAGGAAAACACATCTCAATTGAGAATGCATCAGTAAAAATTCTGGTGGCTGGTAAGAACACACATCAGTAAAAAAACCAAACAACCTCCCCCTCACTTGGTTGTCAATAAAAACATATAATCAATAAAAACATGGCAAGAAGAAAATAAAAGGTTCAGTCATTAGTAAAAACGTGTCAGTAAAGTCCTGCCTTACTAAAACGACTGTGCTTGTCAGTAAAAACACGTGTCAGTGAAACAGTTTGGTCGCAACATGTGTCAGTAAAAAAAACCCCACTTGGTTGTTAATAAAAACATGTATTGATACAAAAAAGGACAAGAAAAAAAAAGTTTGGTTATCAGGAAAAGTGTGTCTCAGTAAAAGCACGCAGCAGTAAAACCACCTGGCAATACAACACTAGGGTCCTTGGTAAAAACCAAAACAAAACGTGTCGGTGAAACACTTTGATCACCAGCAGGTTGGTAAAGAGGAATATGAATAAAAGTGTCAGTAAAACACATTGGTCATTAGGAAAAAAATCCCATGTTTGTTAGCGGAAAAGTTTGGTTGTCAGTAAAGAAAAAAGAGACACTTATGAGTAAAAGTGTGTTAGTAAAACACGTTTGTCATTAGGAAAAAAAAGTATCAGTAAAAAAGTTTGGTTGTCAGTAAAAACAAACAACACACACAAATTGCCTTGAAATTTGGCCCCTACCAGCCACCCCTCTGTGGGAGAACCCAGGTGTCCAGGCTCCCAGCAGCCTCTGCTCTCAACCCCATAACCCCTGCAGAGAACCCAGGCATCCAGGGCTCACCTCCATGGAGAAGCGGCGCCCATCCAGGAGATGCTCAGATCCGGGCCGGGCCTCGCCTTGGCCCCAGTGGAGGTGGAAGGATTGGGCCCGGTAGTGCCCTGGCAGCCCAGGGCCCGACAGCATTAGCCCCTCCGCCAGCTGCACGTCCACTGTGGGGGGTGCAGGGAAGAGACTGCTGTGAGAGGGACCCAGGCGTCTGGGCTGACCCATTCCCAGGCATCCGGGGTGACTCATCCCCCCCAGGGAGAGGGACCCGGGCATCCGGGCAGGCCACCCACCCCCACCACTGAGAGAAGGGTCCCAGGCTTCTGGGCCTACCAGTGTGGCCGGTGTTGTGGAGGCTGCGCAGGCGGCGGGCATCACCATAGCCACTCAGCGCCACAGGGCCCAGGCGTGGGTCAGGCACAGCATCATGGGTGCTCAGCTCTACCGGCGACTGCCTCGTCCCGTTGCAGTGGCCCAGCTTCACCCACGTGGCTGGGCCTGGGGGGAGAGGGGACCAGACAGGAGGTGGAGCCAGGGAGAGGAGAAGCGGTAGAGCCAGAAGGGGAAGGACCAGAAAGGAGGTGGGGGTGCGGAGGCACAGGGTGGAGCCAGAAAGGGTGTGGAGCAAGGAAGAAGAGAACGGGTGGAGCCAGAGGAAGCGGGGCCAGAACAGAGGTGGGGTTGAAGGAGACATGGAGGGGGCGGAGCCAGGAAGGGGAGAAGGGGCATGGCCAGGTGGGGAGGAGGCAGAACCAGAGGGGGAGAGGGAAGCAGGGAGGGGGGCAGAGGCGGAGCCAGGGTGGGAAAGGGGGGGAGTCGGAGGGGAGAGGGGCAGAGCCAGGAAGGAGCAGGTGGGAGGCAGAGTCCAGGTCCAGCAGCAGGGCCAAGCAGGAGGGGGCAGGGCCAGGGAAGAAAAGGGGCGGAGTTAGACACACACAACCCCCCCCTTGAGTGGCCCACTGGGAGGCTGGATGCCTGAGTCCTCTGACTCCTGGGTCCAGCCTGTGCCTCAGTTTCCCCAGGGGAGTGGGGGGGAGGGAGGGGGTCTCACCACACTCTGGGTCCTCGTAGCACCAGGACTCTGTGGGGGTGGGGCGGAAAAGAGGGAGGGGTGAGAAACAGGGGGGGGCAGGGGGGCATAAACCCTGCCCTCCAGCCCCAGTGGGAGGGGCTGGGCCAGGAGGAGGGGGGGCATTACCTGTGTGGGGGGCAACAGCCCCCCCCAGCAGGAGCAGAGCGAGGAGCCGCAGCGCCGTGTCCATGGCCTGGGGGCGCAGGCAGGGGGAAGGGAACTGAGGTGTCCGGGTTCCCAAAGTCCCTGTTCCCACCCCTCCACCCCATGTAACCCGGGTGGTGCCTGGGCTCCCAAACCCCCTGTTCCCACCCCTCCAGGGAACCCAGGCAACCAGGCTCTGAAACCCCTGGTCTCACACTCCCATCCTCCAGGGAACCCAGGCATCTAGGCTCCTAACACCCTTGCTGCCACTCCCCAGAGAACCCAGGAGTCCAGGCTCCCCAATCCCTTGCACCCCCTGCACCCTAGAGAACACAGGCATCCGAGCTCGCAACCCTCTGCTCTCAGGGTCCCGAAGGGGTAAGAGGATGGGGAGCCTGAATGCCTGGGTTCCTTGGGGTGGAGGGGAACAGGAGCAGGGTGTTTGGGAGCCCGAACGCCTGGGGTCCTGGGTGGGGGAGCAGGAGGAGCAGGGGGTTTGGGAGCCTGGATGCCTGGGTTCCCTGGAGTTACACGGCTGGGAGCCTGGATGCAGCCAGCTCTGGGGTGGAAGCCTGTGGGCGCCGTCGGGTGGTGCCGCCTTATATGGGCCAAGGTCGCGCCCGCGCGGGTGGAATTACAGTAAGGGGAGGGGGGGGCAGGGCCCAGCCTCTGCCTCAGGCTCAGAACCCAGGCGTCCGGGCTCCCAAACCTCCTGCTCACAGCCCAGCGAACCCAGGTGCCTGGGCTCCCTGCTCTCCACCCCACACACTGCAGAGAACCCAGGTGTCCAGGCTCCTAACACCCCTGCTCTCACCTTGCATCACCCCACCCCACCCCACCCCAGACAACCCAGGAGTCTGGGCACCCAGTTCCTGGAAGGGAAGTGGGGCTGAGTGTTGCAAGGAGTGCAGGGGAGATAGCAAGAACCCAGACACCCAGACTCCTAACACCCCTGGTCTCAACCCCCCCACCCCAGAGAACCCAGGCATCCAGGCTCCCAAACCCCCTACTCCCGCACTCCCATGCCCCAGAGAGCCCAGGCATCTGGGCCCCCTGCTCCCAGCCCCCCCACCCCAGAGACCCCAGGTGCCCAGGCTCCCCAACCCCAGAAGCTGGCGGTCCCCTCCCAGAGCTGGGAAGGAGCACAGGCGTCCGGGCGGGGATGGAGCTGGTTTATCCGGCCCGGGCCGGGGCAGGGCGCTGTTATGATGACAGACCCGAACGCCCCGGAGGCCTCGGGGATGCACCCGCACACCTGGGTCCCCGGGGGCTTGGGGAGCCTGGACGCCTGGGTCCCTGGGGCTTTGGGAGCCTCGATGCCTGGGGTTGGGGGGTGGGAGCTGGGGGGCTGGGTGCCTGGGTCCCAGGGGGCTCGGAAGCCTGGGCTCTCTGGGCTTTAGGAGCCCGCAAGCCTGGGTCCCTGGCCCGGGGCTGCCCCCTGGAAGTGGGTCAGTGCCAGGCTCCGGTTTCAGTCCTGGGGAAGCGGATCCGGGTATCGTCTGTCACCGGGAGGGGGGGTTTGGGAGCCCGCACGCCTGGGTCCTCTGGGAGGAGATGGAGAGCCCGGATGCCTGGGTTTTCTTCCCCGCTCTGATGTAACGGGGTGGGGCACGGGCGGCGTCCCGAGGGTGGGGCCACGTTGCTTGGGGTTTCAGCCACACCGGCAGGAAGGAAAGAACCCAGGTGCCCAGGCACCAAATTCCCCCAGAACCCAGGCGCCCGGGCGGGGAGCTGACACTCCCAACACTGCGCCTGTTTATCCGGCTCCACCCAGGGCTATGCTGGCTCCAGTCTGGCCCAGTTGGCCCTGCCCCAGGGCAAGGAGAAGGCGACCTCTGGAGGTGGTGATGGGACTCAGGTGTCCAGGCCCCCTGACCCCAGGGAACCCAGGTGTCCGGGCTTCCAACCCAGTCCTCCCTCTTCCCATCATGCATTGCGGTGGCCTTCTGGGTGTGGCAGGAGGAGGGTAGGGTTTGGAGGCTCTGCCTCCCAGCATGCTCGGTGTCCTTTCCCACAATGCATTGTTTTCATTCCCCTCCCCCAGGGGCTTGAGGAGGAGAGGTTGGGAGGGGATCAAACACAATGCTTTGCCCTCCCATGATGCCTCAGTGGCCCCTGGAGAGGCCTCCCCCTTGCCCTCATCTGGACTGGGATCTCCCACAATGCCCTGCGCCCTCTTGGCTCTCCCACCCTGAGCCAGGATGGCTCCCAGTATGGGTTGCACCTAGGACCACCCAGGCTCCTAACTGCAAGGCATTGTGGGAGCTGTACTCCTATGGGGGAGGAGGAGGCTACATCACCCATGATGCCCTTAGTTGCCAATGCTGCAAGCTCGTGGGAGCTGGAGTCCAGGCATTCCCATGGTGCTCCTAGTGCCTCCCCCCAGGCTGCAAGGCATCATGGGAGCTGGAATCACCTCCCCTCCACCCAAAGTCTCTGGACTACATGTCCCATGATGCCTCTTGCTGTCCTCTACTGTTGCTCCTGCGGAAAGGCACTATGGGAACTGCTTGTCTTGTCACACCCCATGAACCTCTGAAGCTAAATGTCCCATGATGCTTCATGCCCCACCTTCCAGAACCACAAGGAATCATAGGAGATGGAGTCAGCCATGCAATAGGACCACATCTCCCCTCATGCTCCCTGCTTCCTCCTGTGTCCCCGCAAGGCATCATGGGAGCTGTGTGCCTGCCACCACCCTGAAAGTCCTCTAGATGACATCTCCCATGATGCTCCTGGCTCCTTCCCTGCTTGCAAGGCATCATGGGAGCTGTAGGACTCCCAACACAATAGCATGTTGTCCTCACCACCTACAACTCCCATGATGCTTTTCAGCTACCCACCCAACCAAAAAGGATCATGTGTCTTGGACCCAGCATATCCCATAATGCCTTTCGACTAGAACTTCACATACTCATCCTGCAAAGCACCATGGGAGCTATAGTCCTGCCTCCACTACATCTCCCATGATGCTCTTTGTCCCATCCCCGTGTACCATTGCTGCAATGCATCATGGGAATTGTCGATCTGGCACCACCCCTACAACAGTCCCCAAGCCATCTCCCATAATCCTCCCTGCCCTTGCAAGGGATCATGGGAGTTGTAGTCCTCTCATCCCATGTCCTCCAAAGCCACCAGGCCACATGCCCCATGATGCTCCTTGCTCCCCCAGCCCTGCAAGGCATCATGGGACTTGAAGTCCTGCCCCCTCCAGTAGCCTCTGAACTACATATCCCATGATACTCTGACCCCATCCTCCCAGCACTGCAAAGGATCAAGGGAGCTATAGTCCTGCCCCTAGTGCCTCCAGACTGCATCTCCCATGATACTCCATGCTCCCCATCCTCTGATGCTGATACTTCAAAGCATTCTGGGAGGTGGGATCCTGCCCCATCCCATCCCCTACACCCAAGGACCTCTGCACACCATCTCCCATGATCCTCTTCCCACCAAGGACACCCCCCAGCTGCAACCATGAAAAGCATCATGGGTGTGTCCTCCTCCCTTTCCTGCATGCTGCAAAGCATTCTGGGAGTTCTTGGGGGATGACAATCCAGCTCCCAGCTTGCCCATGGCCTGCAGGGCATCATGGGATGACCAGCTCTCGCACAGCATTATGGGAGCCAGGGCCCTCCTGCACCATCGCCCTGCCAGCCCTCCAGCAGCCCCTTCCCCCTGCCATGACACCCCACCCACACTACCCACAAAGCATCATGGGAGCTATAGGCCTCACCCCCACACAATTCCCATGATGCTTTTCACCTGGCCCCACCCAACTGCCAAGGATCATAGGCCTTGGGCCCAGCATATCCCATAATGACCCTCATCTAAACTCCTCCCATATCCATCATGCAAAGCATCGGGGGCGTTGTAGTCCTCCAGCCCTCATTTCCTATGATGCTTTTCACTTGCCCCAACCACAAAGGATCATGGATTAGGCACCCAGGATTTCCCATAATGCCCTTCGACTGCTCCTCCCCCCGGCCGCGCAAAGCATCCTGGGAACCCTAGTTCCACCAGGGCTCAATGCGCACGCGGGACTCCCTTCCCTTTCCCGCTTCTCCGGCAGCGCAGCCTTCCTGCGCATGCGCCATATTTGCCAGGTTCCTCTCTCTTCTACACATGCGTCCGAAATGCCCCCCGCCTGCCGTTCTGCACCAGCGAGCGATCACTGCCCCCTCCTAATACGCATGCGCCCGGCGCAGCCGCGTAGCTCCCTGGGAACCCTAGTTCATTCGCTAAACCGTAGCGGTATCATTGCGCGTGCGCTAAATGAACTCCTGTCAGGACTCGGCGCATGCGGCGAGCCGTATCGCTGCTGTGCGCATGCGTACGTATCCACCGGATCAATGGGAACCAGTCCCAGTGAGCCAGGCCCCGCTGGCGCTTTTGCGCATGCGGATTTCCCTAGCGGTACGCAGCGCCCCCTGGGACTTGTAGTTTCGCCGCCACCTGGCGCCAATCGGCCTCAAGGGAGCGGGAACTCCATTTCCCAGCCTGCCCCGCGACGGGGTCCCTGCTTCCCCC